ATCCAATATCATATAAGTGATCATCAAGAGGATCTTGAATATAATCTAGCAAGTAAATTCTGTCCAAGAATTCTTCTTCAGGGTCTATGATTTTTCGATGAGACCAACAAGACTGATATCTTGAGAAACAATCGGGAGGATGAGTTGCACCTTGTTTGTAAACAATTTTGAAGTCGTAAGTTGACAGCATGATTGACCATCGTTGTAATCGAGAATTCTTAAAATTAACTTTGGTAAGTTGACATAGAGCATGGTGATCTGTCTCTATTAAGAATTGTTCACCTTCAAGGTAATGATTGAATTTGTTAATGCCTACAAATATGGCAAGAAGCTCTTTTTCAGAGATGGAATAGTGTTTTTGGTGTTTTTGAAGTTTTTGTGAATAAAATGAGAGAGGAAGCCAATCTTTTACTTCTTCGATGGGTGTGAGAGAATTGTAATTTGGAGAGTTGGGATCTTCTTGTTGAAGGATTCCACCAACAGCATGGTCTGAAGCGTCAGCAGCAATTTTTCTTCGAAGTTTAGGGTCATAATGGACCAGTAGAGTTGTAGATACGAGGGAATTTTTGAGAGTATCAAGTGCTTTTCTATCATCGGGAAGTATTCTGAATCGTTTTTCTTTTGAGATTAGTCGGTAAAGAGGAGCGGCTAATGTTGAATAATTAGGAATGTAACGTGAAAAATAGTTGTAGCAACCAAGTATTGACTGGAGTTCTCGTACATTACGAGGATAAGGAAGATTTTTAAGTGCTTCGACCTTCTTTGGGTCAGGACGAATACCTTGACCAGAAACCAAATGTCCTAAAAGTAAGATTTCAGTATATCCAAGTTGACATTTATCTAATTTAACCTTTAAATTGTATTGTCGAAGTCGATCAAGAACCAGAGTAGTATTAGAGAGTAATTCGTTGAAGTCTTTTCCAACAACTGGGACATCGTCAAAGTACCCAATACACTTCTGATAGATGAGTCCTTCAAGGACTTTGTTCATAAGGCGCTGAAAGATGAAAGGAGCGCTGGCAAGACCCATTGGTAAGCGTTTATACTGGTATTTGGCATCAGGAGTAACAAATACAGTTTTAGCACGTTCAGTTGGAGGAAGCTCGATCTGATGATATCCTTGAGCCAGGTCAAAGATATTGAAAAATTTACCATTACGAACTACTTCCAAGCAGTCATCAATGCGAGGCATTGGATGTCTGGGAACTCGAGTTATACGATTAAGTTTCCTGTAATCGATAACCATTCTGAAACTTCCATCGGGCTTTGGAACTAGGATGGCTGGAGCACCACCATCGGCATTACAAGGTTCGATGATGTCATTGGCGAGTAAATCGTCAATAATTTTCTTAAATTCAACTCGACGATTAAGAGGACAACTGTACGGATTTTGCCATGGAACTGGTTGATTATCAAGATCAATGTGAATGGGACAGACAGTTGAGGGAACGAATCCTAGATCATTTTTTGATTTAGCAAATGTATCTTGAAAAGATTCTATTAGTTCAACCAGTTGTTGCTTCTGGTGTTCTGGTAGATTCTCATCAATTTTCTGATAAACTAAAGTTTTAAATGGTTGGAAATTGATTTCCTTGACTTCTGTTGGAGTATGAAGATCGCATTTGGCCATAACAGCAGTTGATTCAGTGCTTAACTGAACAGGAACAGGTTTACCATCTTGTTTGACTCGATTGTCCAAAATGTAAGAGTCGGAAGCATTTCCAGTTGGATGGATAGATGAATTGAATATTTATTGAGTTTCATCGATTGTACAAAATCGTATGAAAAAGTTTGGTGCAAGAGGAGTGGAATCAAAGTATTCTGAACAGGTTGTTAAGTATTCATTGCCATCTGATTTTAACTGCATGTAATACAAGTGTAGAAAAGCGTTACCAATAAGACAGACTGGTTCGAATTCGTTTACGATCTGGAGTCTAAAAACTCTTGAATCTGCCATGTCAGGGTGTTTGACGACAGCATATGCAAAGCCATGTGAGTGAACATATTGCTGAGCAGCAATACCTTTGAGTGAACGAGTGTACGGGATAACAGTAGCACCTAACTCTTCAGCTATGGATGAATCTAAAGCTGAAATAGTGGAACCAGTATCCAATAAAACTCGACCTTCTTTGTAAATCTCGCGATTTGGTCGACATAGTTTAAATACGGCTTGAGGCATATGTGAGAGTTGAGATTGACCAAGATTAGTCAATAGAGGTAATTGAGATACAGATGAGAGAGCGTAAGAGAAACCTGGATTTCGATGAGCATCAACAGTAGGTTCAGGAGGTAAATTATCACCTATGATGAGATTAGCAGATTGACTTGGAGTATTTGTTATAGCAAGAGGTTGAGAAGCAGAAGCTTGAGGCTGACTTTGAGAAGGTTGTGAAGTTTGATTTCTGTTGTGAGAATAAGGAGTTCGAGGTTTTGTACGACATTGGGCAATAGTGTGACCGATGCGTTTACAATAGTTGCAAGTTACATTAGGATTGTAAGAGGAAGAGACATGCTGAGTTTGCCTGGGATTTGGTTTAGATTGATTGCGATTATCGGGTTTCTTATTGAGAAGAGAAGCTACAGTAGTAACTTTAGGAGTGAAAGAGTTTTTCTCGTTTCGAGATTTATGTGCTTGTTGTTGTTGAGTGTATTCAAAATGTTTTCTGATGAGGAAGGTAGTAATTTGTTCTAAATTACCATTATATCCTAGGGTATAAATTTCAGTTTGAAGGAATTGAGGGATGTGATACATAAGTTCATGAAGGAAAACTTCATCAGTGTAAGCTCCTACAGTTTTTGCAAGAGCTTTACGAAGCTTTTGAATAAAAGTTGAGGGATGTTCAGATAAAGTGTATCGGATTTGCTTGAGTTGAAAAGAGGCAGAATATTGCATGGCTGGAGTTTTGATAGCAGTAATGAGAGCGTCTACGTAAGCTTTATACTCGGTAATGGATTCACCAACTTCAGTATCAGCGAGGGCTAATAATTCATGTGCTAAGGACTTTCTGAAACATCTATAACGCGTAGCGTCATCGACATTTTCCTGGGCTAACCGAGATTTAGTTTTGGTTATGAAGTCTAACATGTCTTCACCTTTGGTATACTCAATGATTTGAGGATCTGGCTTGAGAGCAGATAGGGAAGTAACAAGCGAAGCTTGATCGATTCCAGTTGAATTTGTGAAGTTCACCGGAACAGGAGAGCTTACAGTAGGTTGAGGCAAGGTCATATGAATACCATTGAGGGCGAGAACAGCAATGAACTTTTTGATAGTTCCTAAGGGTAGTGATAAAGCAAATAATTCATCTTGGGTAACTCGAAGGACAGATTCAGTCTCTCGACCAAGAGTAAGAATAATTGTTTGAATTTCAATTTCAGTCATACCACGTTGACGGCATTGTACAACCCATTGAGGAATCTCGAGATTCTGTACAGAACTGACAGGAAGTTCACCGATTTCTTCATCTTCTAGATTATCACCATGAATCATTAGATGAGTGCGTAAGCATTCGTAGAGTCGTTTTCTTATTAACGGGGCAGCAGGGACTACAACATTCCAAGCAGTGAGCTTTTCAATTGCTTCAACAGGAGTTAATAATTTTACCGTTGGAGTTCCATCAGCGGCAACGAAGTTTAAGTTGGATTTTAACATCATAGCAAATGGGAGAGTTTAAAACTCTAAGTTATAACTGGTTACAGTTAAAGGATACACAAAGATCACAAGAGTGATATAAGTTCAGAACAAAGAAAGCGGAGTAGCTTTGGGAAAATTGAAAGTTTTTGGAAAAGAGCTTTTTATAGCTGAGAATACTTATCAGTATTGAAATTGAATTTTAGTTGAGGGTTGAACGAAAGTGACGTGATAGTCGAAGAGCACAATAGGCGATGAGATCACAAGAGTGATGAGGTTTGGATAATGTTCAACAGGAATTTTAATAAGATGACTTGAAGAGCAATCGAAGTTGTTCAGTGACAACGAAGGTTCACGAAGGTGAAGATGAATTAAAAGTTTAGAAGCTCAAAGGCTTAGACTCACTGAAATGTGATGAAACTACACGCCGGTAATTTAAAATGGAAAAGTTAATTCTTTGACTTGAATTGAAGTAACAACACAGAGGAAGCACTTAAGAGTTATGTAAATCATGTAAATGATGACGGAGGAACACAACACAGAGGACAACAATCCTGCCAAGGTCGCCAAATGAAAGGTTGCTCAAACAAGGATCTGAAAGAAGATTGCTAAACTCGCTTTCATTACAAGTTAGAGGGTCGTATCATGGATCCAATCCACTGCAATATGATTCTTTCTATTACCAATTACACTACTGAGAAGATCTCGAAGAGATGAAGAGATAGCTTTAGCTATGGAATACAACTATTCAGGGCTTGATACCTTAGTGTCGCGTAGACTTAAGGTTGTATCCAGAGGATTCACAAAGTAACAAACTAAGAACTCGTTAGAGTTTTATGAAAACTTTTATTGATATAAAATTGAAATGGGAAAATGTTTGACTGTAAGTGACTGTACTAGAAGTAAAACTTGGTAACATAAGAGTTAGATGAATTTGAGGACATTGAAGTCTATTAAAATAATGGAGTAGTAACAGTAGCAAATGAACAGTGAATTAAAGAACATAAGAGTGTTCCTTTTATCCTAAACTTAAAACAAAAGAAATGAAATTGGAGGGAATAAGCATAAGGAGCGTAAAAACTCTGTCTTTCTTTGTCTTCTTTCTGGTTAGTATCAATGTCATCAATTAGTACTGTTAAAGCCTATGACCAATCCGGGTTGAGTTGGATAGCACCAGCTATGATGTCTTGAGACAATACTTTTTACCTTCTTGGTAATCTCAGCCTTTGTATGTACAAAGGGATTAAAATGGTGACTTGATTTGGTTAACCTAAAGAAAGGGAATTTGCTATCTCTTACTTTTTGACACTTAAAAATGAAGCTTAAATTTCAAGAGAGATTTACAAAGATTATTGACAGATTGTGGTCAGGATAATGTAAATGAGAGTTCCACAGAACTATGAATTTGTAATACAATAAAAGGCATAAAGTGAACAAGTTTAGTTTGAATTCAGAGAGGGGATAATTTCAGATTGTTAAAGCAATACGAATGAATGGACTGATTGAGAAAGTTTAGCTCTAAATATGATTAAATATAAGAATAAATGAAATGAAAAGTTAAAAGTTAAAGACTAAAACAATTCATAGAGCAGTTGATAGAAGACCAAAATCTCTACCCTTCAAATTGTAGGAACTTCGGATTACAAGATTGGTACATTAAAGGACGTTATCAGCCAGGGAAGAATACCATTTTTCCTTGAAGGTATTTCAATGCACGACTTCTTCAAAGGCAAAGTCAACGAAGATTATGCTGATATCTATAAACGTAGCGTTTCTGAAGGATTTGGTGAAGCCTTTCCATTAGGACCTATTCCTGTATTTGAAAAGAGCGAATTGATGGTCACTTTCCTATCAAGTGTTGGCAGAAAACTAACCCCAGTGATGAGTTCAGTATCTGGTTTTGCAAAAGCCAATCAAGAACTTTACTTCTCAGCAAAGCCTTTTCATAAATCTTTGCGAGCTATGCTTTTTAGCTACAATACATCTCAGCTCACCAGAAAGAAGCTTGATACCCAGTGAGTAAATTTATTCAATGATTCGTCATTTATTAATAGTTCCAAATATCTAACTTCGCTCATCTTAATTTTCCCAGGGATCGTCGGTTACTTCAAAGTGGAATCGTCCCAAAACTAGAAGGAGATATTTACATTGAATTTATACTTTCTTTTTATCCAACTACCTTATTCGAGTTTCACAAATCTGAAGTTCCCCGAAAAATTAATGATTTCACTTGGAAACCATTGAGTTTTAGTGGATTCTATCAGATATTTTATATTTATGTCTTAATATTGATACTGATAACACTTGTTGCACTCATTGAAATCATCATTGGTTTTTTGTTTACTTAAATTCAATGACTATTAATAAATGAAATGAAATATTAATAAAAACTATTTGTGAACAAATAGTCACCCATCGGTGACAGTTTAATACCTAAACTTTACCCTTATCTTCGGGAGAACATAGTTTAAACATTGTTAGAAATCGCGGTTACTAGAGAAAATTTTGCCACCAAGATGACTGATAAATGCAAGAATAAAATGAAATCAGAGAGCAAAATAGTTTCAGTAAATTCAAAAGAGTGCGAAACGAGGCTGATTCGTCTCTTGCCTTTGGTTTGTTTGAAGACGCGAAAGAAGGTATTTTGAGGCAGATTTCAAGCGATTACAAAACTGATTGTCTTGAGGTCTAATTGTTCAAACATATAATTGATAGCAAGTAATACAATTTAAGAGAGCTAGCAAGGTTCATAGTCAAATTGATTTTTAATAGTTTTAGTTATTCAATATTTACACTGAAATGATACATTTTGTCGTCGCACTCGATTGGATCGAGAGAGGAAAGCAATGGTTAACTCAATAAGCAATACAACTATGGGCAGAATCAACATGAAGAGGAATAAATGCAATATTTGATAGAATCCACTGTAATTTAATGATTTCCAACTGAGATCAATCACTTTTCGAGGAACTTCAGACTTATGAAAGTCGTATAAGGTTGCAGGATAAAAAGAGAGTATAAAGTCAACGTAAGTATCTTCTTTCATTTTTGTAACAATGCCACTTTGGAGAGCCCGACGAGATCTGTAAAAATCAAGAAGCAAAATAAGATACTTGGGATTTGATTTAAAGTGATTTAATGACAAGTAGTTGCTTCACTCACAGCGTATTCATTCTTTTGCGGTGGGATTCGGAAGCGTTATAGCTGAAAATCATAGCTTGTAATGATCTATGAAAAGGTTTTGCTGAGAAGTAATGTTCTTGATTAGGTTTGAGTAAATCAGATGAATCAGCTGCTAATGGACCCAGTTTCTTTCCAACACCAGAAACAAAAGTGAGCATCTGTTCCCTTCTTTTAAATACAGGAATAGGTCCTAATGGAAATGGTTCCTCGAACCCTTCAGCAACAGCCCGTTCATAGTTATCAGCATAATCTTTAGTGACTTACGTATGCTTGATATATAGAAGTTTTCTTCTGATACGACAGAAGTGAAATGACCAGGAGCCTTCTGAGTATCCAGCGACAATGGCAATAAACACATATCAGCTTTCTAACAATTGTGAATACAAAAAAAGATTAAAATTTAAAGTTTTTGGTTTTTTGTATTATTGACATAACTTACCCCGGCTTGCATTAGACCCAAAACTCCATCATGATAACCAGTTTCTGTTAGCACTCCCAATTGCCCTTCCTCGGGTAGAATGAATTTCAGGCTAAGAGGAAAATTTATTAGTACTGTCAATAGAATCATAAAACTTTTATGATAAAAGTTTCTTACTTGAAAGGACCATAATCAGAGAGTATCGCTGCAAAGCGTTTAAGAGACTTCAAGTTAGGAACAACTTGATCATCTTCTTCGATGAATCCTTCAGCAAATGGCACCTTCAATATCAAACAATTAGTAATGAAACGGGAATATTAGCTGAATAATTGTATTCCTTACCGAAAAAGCTCCAACAGTTAAATTCGTTCTTTGCATTTTGCATACAATTTCCAAATCCACAAAATTACGAATCACCTATCAAGTGAAATACCTATTTTATTGACTACAGATTTCTCGGCAATTCACAAAGTTGTTTATTTCAATTTATTCATTTGCTCACTAGACCATTGCAAATATGTTTTTGTATTGTCATATTGTGTGCTATTTTAAATTTTCTTTAAAACCACTCTAATACTTGTTGCCGAACAAGTTAATCAGATAATATTTACGATCAGAAAATGTTATTTCGAAATTTTATTGATTAATAATAATGAAAAGTACATTTTCCATGGTCAATTAAACGAATTAATGATTGCGTTGAAAAGAAACACTTTTTTGCTTTTTTAAGGGATCTTTTGAGGAATAACATGTTTATTTGCAGAACAGAATAGTTACTTTACTTCGCAATTTATTCAAAGTTTTTATTGTTTTCTGGTCCATTTGTGAAAATTGTATTTTTTGGCTTTTTTTATTGGATCAAGTTGATCTGTATGGGAAAGAGTTATGCTGAAGTTTTCGAAATAATGATTGATATGGTTTAAATTTGCAAAGAAAGTCTTTTGAATCGCGCTAAAATTATAAATAAAGATGTTTATAATTAACTGATTAGGAAATGCATTTAAGTTTGGAAAATTGTTTTTAGGGTCAATTTTTGTCCTCTTTTCGAATATCTACTTTTAAACTCAATTTTTCCCTTATTTGTGAATTATTTGCCTAATTGTTGCAAAAAAACCGTGTTCAATTAAATAACTGAAATATGCCTCCTGGAATCGAATTGAGTGAATTTGCCAAGGGCCAAATTTATTCTCTACATTGACAAGGTCTATCTTCGAGAAAAATTGCTGCTTAAATTGGTCGAAGCCATACTGTTGTACAACATTTCGTCAATTAGTTGAAAGTGCATCAAATTGTGCGCTGATTAATAACGAACTGGAAACTTTTCTTGATCAAACATGGTCTACTTATAAACTAACGTTACAATAATAATAATAAATTTTCAGACAAAAATATCGATTTTGATGATTCTTGTCAATAATTACCAAATTGGTGATGTTGATAATTTATACCAAAGAGTAATAAGTCTTATTACTCTTTGGTTTATACAACAAAATGTCAATCAATATGATCAAATCTCGAAAGTTTGTATGAAAAAGAAGAGCTTCCTTTGACATTTAGCTTAATAAACTAGTTTACGAAAAGATTTAACAATAGTTTCTTTATTTAGTTATTAATATGTTAAATTATAAGAATCAACAAATATTACATAAAATATTCAAACCATCAAGTAGGTTAAATGTTTTCAATTTATCATCAGAAGCGCTTCATCTATTTCAATATCTTCAAGCAGTGTCTGATGCAACTATTCAACAGTACTTTACGGATCATAAACTTTCATCATCAAGAGATCTGTTGAAATATGAAATGGTTATTTCCAGGACAGTGTTGTTTTACTTACAAGTTACTTAGCTTTGATTGTTAGCTATTCTGGATTTCGATTGAAAATGCATAAAACAAATTTAACTGTTGGGGCTTTTTCGGTAAGTAATGGACTGTTTGGTTAATATTATCGTCTACTAACTTGATGTTTGTTATTGAAGATACCATTCGCCGAAGGATTCGCTGAAAAAGACGGTCAAGTTGTTCCTAAATTGAAGTCTCTTAAACGATTTGCAGCCATTCTCTCGAATTATGGCCCTTTCAAGTAAGAAACTGTTATGATTATTTTGAAAGTACCAACTATTCAAATGGATTAATAAATTATCCTCTTAGCTTGAAATTCATTCTACCCGAGGAAGGACAAATGGGTGTACTATCAGAAACTGGTTATCATGATGGAGTTTTGGGTTTATTACAAGAAGGGGTAAGTCAATGTATTACTAATAATACAATACTAATTGACTAAATGTGGTGACTAAAAATTAATTGGAATGGTCGTAGTTAGATAGTTTGTCACAAGAAATTGAATTTGATTTCTTAGCTTGCGGTGAAAATTCTAACAATTGAAGGTTACCAAACACTACGTCAGTTTTCAATATTTTTGCACCTCAAAATACTCTAATAGGTCAGATATGAACCTTTGTCGTGATATGAGCCTTTAGTTTCGAAAATGCTTCGTCTAAAAGTTACCGGGTGTCAAAGTATCAATTTTTGCATAGGTTTGTGCACTTGATGCAAGTAATGTGAATCTATTATAAAACGAAATTTTGGCCTTCGTTTTGCTATATTGACATTTTCCTTTTCAGTTTGAATGGACTGTAATATTTTTTTCCATTTGTAAATACAGAAGGCTGATATGTGCTTCTCGCTTTTACCGTTGGATATCCAGAAAGCTCCTGGTTATTTCTCTGCCGTTATATCAGAAGACAGGTTCTACATATTTAGTACACGCGATCTGCATCCTGAGGACTCAGCAGTTGTTTCAAGTCTAACATCAATCACCGTGATTCCTCTGTTATTGGCTATTCTCGCTATTTTAATATTGGAATTTACAGTTGTTAAACATTTCAAACTTGAAGCATTGGTTACAGCTATCTTTAGATCCTTTGGTATCACATTTCATCAGCATTTTTATAACCGTTCAGCATGGCTTTGCTTGGTTCAAATGTTTATCCTAATGTTTCCAGTATTCATCTTTAGTGCTGCATTCAGAACCCAAACTATTGTAGGAACTGCAGATTACAAGATTGATACATTGAGAGATGTTATCGATCAGGGAAAGATACCATTTTTCCTTGAAGGCATTTCGCTGCACGACTTTTTCAAAGCCAAAGTAACCAAAGATTATGCTGATAATTATGAACGAGCTGTAACTGAAGGGTTAGAAAAGCCCTTTCCGTTAGGACGCCTTCCCGAATTTGAAAGGAAGGAGCTGATGATAACTTTCGTCTCTGGTGTTGGAAAGAAACTAGCTCCGTTAATGACTTCAGTTTCTGGTTTTACCGACATCAATCGAGAAGGCTATTATTCAGCAAAGCCTTTTCATAAATCTTTGCAAGCTATACTTTTTAGCTTCAATGCATCTGAGAACATCAGAAAAAGGTTTGATACTATGTGAGTAAATTCACTTATCGTTATTCGGTAATTCATCATTTAGTTCCAAACAATTAACTTTGCTTGTCCTTATTTTTTGCAGTGCTAGTCGGGACTTTCAAAGTGGAATCGTTCAAAAAATGGAAGGAGATATTTACATAGATTTTATGCTTTCTTTTTATCCAACTACCTTATTCGAATTTCACAAATCTGAAGTTCCTCCAAAAATTAATGATTTCACTTGGAAACCATTAAGTTTTAGTGGATTCTATCAGATATTCTTTATTTATTTCTTAATATTGATACTAATAACAACTGTTGCACTCATTGAAATCATCATCGGTTTTTTCTTTACTTAAATTCAATGATGAAATAACAAAAATCATCAAAGATCAAAAGTGAACAAACTAACAACAGTGAATCACAATGACGAACAATAGCAAATGAAAAAACCTTTTGAAGTTTGGAACTTAAACTGATTAAAGTTTTCTGATTTGGACAATTCAGCAAAGAAAATTGAAAAACTATTAAATGATTTAAATAAAGACTCGAATAATTTTGCAAATGATTCCTAAATTTCTTTAGATCCTGTGGCTAGAGAGAGCTAAGAACTCCAGCCAATGTCTACTGAATAAATTGATTGAAAAAGTTTAAAATCGCTCGATGGTTGAGTTTTAATCTTGCATATCAACCTATGAACCAGGTTGGACTAACTCTTTTTTTACGCTTTTAAAAATTTATACAGATTCTTTTAAAGGGAACTATTAAAGTGGATAAGAGAACATTTAATGACGACGAAAAAAATATTAAATAATGTTGCAATTATTATGTTTCTAACCCTTCAGCAACAGCCCGTTCATAGTTATCAGAATAATCTTTAGTAACTTTGCTTTTGAATAAGTCATGCATTGACATGCCTTCAACGAAAAACGGTATCTTTCCCTGATCGATAATATCTCTCAATGTGTCAATCTTGCTGTCTGCAGTTCCTACAATCGCTTGAGTACTGAATGCAGCATTGAAGATGAATACTGGAAACATTAGGATAAGCATTTGTATCACGCAAAGCCATGATGAACGGGGAGATAAGTGCTGATAAAATGAGATGCCAAAAGATTTTAAGATGCCACTCAATAAGGCTTCAATTTTGAAACATTTGACAGCAATCAATTCCAATATTAATATAGCCAGAATAGCCAATAATAAAGGAATCACGGTGACTGATGTTAGACTTGAAATCATAGCTGAATGGTCTTTATTCAGATTGCGTATGCTAACGATATAAAAGTTTTCTTCAAACACAACTGAAGTGAAATAACCTGGAGCCTTCTGGGTATCCAGCGACAATGGCAATAAACACATATCAGCTTTCTAATAATTACAAATAAAAAACAGAAAAATTAAAATTAAAAAATTAAAACATTGTCATTACTTACACCTTCTTGTAATAAATCCAAAACTCCATCATGATAACCAGTTTCTGTTAGCACTCCAAATTGTCCTTCCTTGGGTAAAATGAATTTCAGGCTAAAACCAAAAAATCACAATTGATTAATAAATTGTAAGTAAAGTTAAAAGTTTCTTACTTGAAAGGGCCATAATCCGAGAGAATGGCTGCAAATTGTTTAAGAGACTTCAAGTTAGGAACAGTTTGATCGTCTTCTTCAACAAATCCTTCAGCAAATGGCACCTTCAATATCAAATAGCATTGAATATTAAATTGGGAATCCAATCAGAGTTTAATGACTCACCGAAAAAGCACCAACAGTTAAATTGACTTTTTGCATGCTGAATGAAAATCTTATAAGCGTATTAGAAAACAATGAAAATTGCGAAGTATAATAAAATAACATTCATTTCTATAATTTTGTTACTCAACAGACCAATTGGCATCTACGTACAAAAGGTTGTTTATTCACAACGAAATTATTTAGTGAATAGATTTTGGGAAATGTATTACTTTATTGATATGTACAAATAAAATAAATTAAACGTAATGTTTTTTTCATATTTTGATTTCTATTTCGGTTATGTAGGATATCACAATTGTGGTATAATTTCACAGTCAATTTAATCAGGACAAATATAAAACAAAACATAATAACAGAATATAAATTGAAAACAGATTTCGTAATTATTCCAGTAATTGTTGTATCCTCATCACCTAGTTGCGAAGTCAAAATGATCGGTAAATATTGAAATGAAATTTTAATGATCGCTAAAAATGAAAAATACATTTTCAACGGTCTAGTGATTGAATGACAATGAAGATTGACTAAAGATTTGTTATTACTTTTACTTGTGATTGGTTTCTCATCGAATTTTGAATATTGTGTTAAAAATGGAAAAATATAATTTTACTATTGGTGCTTTTTCGGTAAGCATTGAGTTGCATTATTGGGTGCATTTATTAGTTTAATAACATATTGTTTGATATTGAAGGTGCCATTTGCTCGAGGATTTGCTGAGAAAGATGGTCAAATAATTCCTAGATTGAAGTCTCTTAAACGATTTCAAGCGCTGTTTTCTCATTCTGGTCAGTTCAAGTAAGTAACTTCAATTCGAACAAAATATTCAGATGGATTAATAAATTTTCCTCTTAGTCTGAAATTCATTTTACCCGAGGAAGGACAATTGGGAGTGCTAACAGAAACTGGTTATCACGATGGAGTTTTGGGTTTATTACAAGAAGGGGTAAGTAATGTAAATGTACAAATCATGTTCATCAGAGTAATAATACGAAAATCCATAAACTTGGCTAAAATAATGAAAAATGACGAAACCAAAATTTAACAATGAACCAAAAGATACATTTTGTGCGGAGTAGCATGATCCTTTTCACTATAAAAATTCACCTAAATTTAGACATAAGCAAATTTGTAATTTTATCGTATTTCAAAAAGAGTCGATAAAAAATTCAGACAAAATCTAATTCTTTCAGTTTTGACAGTTTTGGCCTTCGTCCTTTCTATTTTACATTTTTTCCTTTTCTGTGTTACTATTATAAAACTATACTATTATTTATTATTAATATAATAAATTCGATGCTTCCTTAACATTTTTATTTATATTACAGAAGGCTGATTTGTACCTTTTGTCATTATCGTTGGATACCCAAAAAGCTCCTGGTTATTTTAGTTCTGTCATAGCAGAAGAAAACTTTTATATATTTAGTACACGGAATCTGAATATTGACAGTTCAGCAGTTGTTTCAAGTCTAACATCAGTCACTGTGACTCCTTTATTATTGGCTATTCTGGCCATATTAATATTGGAATTGATTGCAGTTAAACATTTAAAAATTGAAGCATTGATTACAGCCATCTTTAGATCCTTTGGTATCACATTCCACCAGAATTTACCTAACACTTCATCATGGCTTTGCTTGATTCAAATGCTTATCCTAATGTTTCCTGTGTTCATCTTCAATTCTGCATTCAGTACGCAAACTATTGTAGGAACTGCGGATTACAAGATTGATACATTAAAGGATGTTATCAACCAGGGTAGAATACCATTTTACCTTGAAGGTATTTCAATGCATGACTTCTTCAAAGGATCGGTTAGCAAAGAATATGAAGATATTTATAAACGTAGCGTTTCTGAAGGATTCGGTGAAGCCTTTCCATTAGGACCTGTTCCTGTATTTGAAAAGAGTGAATTGATGGTCACTTTCCTATCAAGTGTTGGCAGAAAACTAGCTCCATTCATCAGTTTGGTGTCTGGTTTTGCCAAAGCCAATCAAGAACATTACTTCTCAGCAAAGCCTTTCCATAAATCTTTGCAAGCTATGCTTTACAGCTATAATACATCTGAGCTCATCAGAAAGAGGTTTGATAATCAGTGAGTCTATTTACTAATCGCTATTCAATAATGCGTCATTTAGTTCCAAACATCTAACTTCGCTTATCTTAATTTTCACAGGGATCGTCGGATAATTCAAAGTGGAATCGTCCCCAAAATACAAGGAGATATTTACATTGAATTTATACTTTCTTTTTATCCAATTACCTTATTCGAGTTTCACAAATCTGAAGTTCCTCGAAAAATTAATGACTTCACTTGGAAACCATTGAGTTTTAGTGGATTCCATGAGATATTTTATATTTATGTCTTAATATTGATTCTGATAACACTTGTTGCACTCATTGAAATCACCATTGGTTTTTGCTCTTCTTAAATTCAATGATAACTAATAAATGAAATGAAATAAAGATTATTTGTGAACAAGAAAATTTCTCGTTCAATCATCGGTGACAGTTTAATACCTAAAATTTACCCTGATCTTCAGCAGAACATAGTTTAAACATTGTTAGAAATCGCGGTTAGACTGAACCAAATCAACATGCTTCAATATTTGAAACAATCACTCAAAAAACTTGAAAAAGATTAACATGGCCTGATAGGACAAGTAAAATCTCATTCATTAACTTCATTAATACTTTTTACTTTGGTCTTGAAACTTATTTTACTCCTTCTTTAGAAAGAAAGGCTCGTCTTTTCCGAAACAACACTTCATTTAAATCCTTATGATGGATGTTAAGAAAGAAAACGCAGAATTTGAGAAACAACAAAAGCAATTTATTATTTTATTAGAGAAAATTTTGCCACCAAGATGACTGATAAATGCAAGAATGAAATGAAAACAGAGAGCAAAATAGTTTCAGCAAATTCAAAAGAGTGCGAAACGAGGCTGAAATGCGAGAGAAGGTATTTTGAGGCAGATTTCAAGCGATTACAAAACTGATTGTCTTGAGGTCTAATTGTTCAAACATATAATTGATAGCAAGTAATGTCCTTCGTCGGGTAAAATGAACTTCAGACTAAGAGAACAATTTATTAATCCGTTTTAATAGTACTGTCAATAGAATCATAAAAGTTTCTTACTTGAAAGGACCATAATACGAGAGAATCGCTGCAGCGTTTGAGAGACTTCGAGTAAGGAACAATTTGATCGTCTTCTTCAACAAATCCTTCAGCAAATGGTACCTTCAATATCAAACAGTTAGTGATGAAACGGGAATATTAGCTAAATAATTGCATTTCTTACCGAAAAAGCACCAACAGTTAAATTCGTTCTTTGCATTTTGCATACAATTTCCAAATCCACAAATTTTGAATCACCTATGAAGTGAAATACCTATTTTATTCACAACAGATTTCTTGGCATCGCACAAAGTTGCTCATTTAAATTCAATCATTTAATCACTAGACCATTGCAAATATATCTTTGTATTGTCATATTATGTAATATTTTAAATTTTCTTTAAAATCACTCCAATACTTGTTGCCGAACAAATCGATGTGACGATCAGAAAATGTTAGTTTGAAATTTTATTGATTAATAATAATGAAAAGTACATTTTCCATGGTCAATTAAATGAATTAAATGATTGCGTTGAAAGTAAACACTTTCCTCGCTTTTTAAGGGATCTTTTGAGGAATAACATATTTATGTTTATTTGCAGAACAGAATAGTTACTTTACTTCGCAATTTATTATTCAAAGTTTTTATTGTTTTCTGGTTCATTTGTGAAAATTGTATTTTTTGGCTTTTTTATTGGGTTCAGTATATTTGCATGTGAAAGTATTATTTTGAAGTTTTCAGAAAATGATGGAGAAATATACCAAATGGTACTTTCAAAGTGGAATCGTTCAAAAACTAGAAGGAGATATTTACATTGAATTAATACTTTTGTTTATCCAACTACCTTATTCGAGTTTCACAAATCTGAAGTTCTGCGAAAAATAAATGATTTCTGTTGCACTCATTGAAATCATCATTGGTTTTTTCTTTACTTAAATTCAATGATTGCATAAAATAAAGACGACTCTTCAGGGAAAAGGTTTTCTCGTCGAATAAACTGTCACATATACGTATCTAAAACTAACAGTCTACCTAAAATGGCCCTCGCCAATTTCCTTCTAGTGAATGAAAAACTTGTAACATTTGGAACTTAAACTGATTAAAGTTTTCTGATGTGGACAATTTGGCAAATAAAATTGAAAAAAAATCCAACCGTTAAATGATTTAAATAAATATGATTTGAACTATTGATATTTTGCATAAACCGTAACCAAATGTTTCAAAAATTTCTTAGATGCTGGGCTTAGAGAGAGCTAAGAATCCCAGCCAATGCCTGCTGAATACATTGATTAAACAAGTTTAAAATCGCTTGATGATTGAGTTTTGATCTTGCATATCAACCTATGAACCAGGTTAAATACGCTTTAAAAATTTATACATTCTTTTAGAGGAAACTATGGTGAAAAGTGGAAAACTGGATAAGAGAACATTTAAGGACGACAACACAATATTAAATCTTGTTGCAATTATTCTGTTTTTATATGAGATTTCAGATAATTGCTGAATCAATTGAAATTCTTGTAACCATATTGTATTATTGTTAAGCATTCCGAACTTTATTTTATTGCTGAACTAGAGTGATTATCAAAGCAATGGATAGTTCAAACAATTGAACAACTATTATCAGAAACAATATTAAGAGATATATGTGCAATATTTGATAGAATCCACTGTAATTGACTGGTTTCCAATTAAGACCATCGCCTTTCCGAGGAACTTCAGATTTGTGAAAATCGTATGAGGTTGCATGATGAGAGGAAAGAATGAAGTCAACGTAAATATCTCCTTCTATTTTTGTAGCGATCCCACTTTGAATCATTCGATGTGATCTGTAAAAATTTAAAATGCAAATTAAAATACTTGGAATTTATTATAAAATGATTGAATAATTGATTTAATTGACTCACATAGTATCGAACCTTTTTCTGATTGATTCGGAAGCATTATGACTGAAAAGCATAGCTTTTGATGATCTGTGAAAAGGTTTTGCTGAGAAATATTGTTCTTGATTAGGTTTAAGTAAATTAGATGAAGAAGCTATTAATGGACCCAGTTTCTTTCCAACGCCAGAAACAAAAGTGAGCATCAGTTCATTTCTTTTAAACGCAGGAACAGGCCCTAATGGAATGTTACGGAAGTAATCTGATGAGAAGACTGCTGAACTTGCTTTCACTACAAGTTTTAGATTCGTATCTAGGATCACTAAATGCCTTCAATGAAAAATGGTATCTTTCCCTGGTTGATAACATCTCTCCATGTATCAATCTTGTAGTCTGCAGTACCTACAATCGTTTGAGTACTGAATGCAGAATTAAAGATAAACACAGGAAACATTAGGATAAGCATTTGAATCAAGCAGAGGCATGATGAAGTGTGAGATAATTCTTGGTAAAATGAGATGCCAAAGGATTTTAAGATGGCCATCACTAATGCTTCAATTTTGAAACATTTGACAGCAATCAATTCCAATATTAATATGGCCAGAATAGCCAATATTAAAGGAATCACGGTGACTGATGTTAGACTTGAAATAATAGCTGAATGGTCTTTATTCAGATTGCGTATGCTAACGATATAAAAGTTTTCTTCTGACACAACTGAAGTGAAATAACCTGGAGCCTTCTGGGTATCCAACGAAAATGGCAATAAACACATATCAGCTTTCTAATAATTAGAAATAAAAAAAACAGAAAACTTAAGAGTACAAAATGAAAACATTGTCATAGCTTACCCCGGCTTGTAATAAACCCAAAACTCCATCATGATAACCAGTTTCCGTTAGCACTCCAAATTGTCCTGCCTCGGGTAAAATAAATTTCAGGCTAAGAAGACAATTTATTAATCTATAGTAATAGTTAGTACTGGCAAATGTATAATTGAATCGCAACAGTTTCTTACTTGAAACGACCGTAATCCGAGAGAGTGTCTGTCCATCGTTTAAGAGACTCCAATTTAGGAACAACTTGATCATCTTCTTCAGCAAATCCTTCAGCAAATGGCACCTTCAATATCAAACAATTATTTATAAAATATAAGCTAAATAATTGCATTTCTTACCGAAAAAGCACCGACAGTTAAATTTGTTCTTTGCATTGTACATTCAATTTGCAACTCCACTAAAATTGACAAAACTTTAAATCACTTATGATGTGAATTTACATAACTCATCTTTTGAAATATATATTTTATTTGCGACAGATCTACAATTTACAAAGTTATTTATTTTGAAATATTACAATGTTTGTTACCGAACATGGCGTAAAAATAATCAGATAATGTTAATTTTAATGTTTAATAATAATGAAATATTGATTTGCAATGGTCGATTGATCGCGTTGAAAGTAAACACTTTTCCTCGAAACCTTCCTTCCTTTTCCTTTTTATTGTGAAGCGCATGAAACCTCGCTACTACTGTAAATCAAATCACAGAAAGCGGTCGATTTGGCTGAAATTAAAACTTATCTGTTGTACAGAAACATTACGTTTAAGTGCATTTTCTGGTTGGCCATGAAAAGTTTAACTTATAAAATGAGCTTCAAATCTGCTTCCCTGATTAAAAAGAGGCAATCGAAGTTTCAACTTTGCACTGGATTTTCTCGAAAACCGTCTACCAGACAAATTATTGGGTCAATTTTTTATGCCCTACAAAACTCTTAGCTCTAAAGCCAAAGGACCGGTAGATGCATTTTTAATGATGAATATGAGATGATTGTGATCAAACCGATTGTAATATTTGCACAATAAAACAATTGAAAGTGACACAATTTACAACCTAATTACAAACTGTAAATGAATCATTTCAATCTTTTCAATTGACATTGTAAAATGGGTTGTAGTTATAACAACTTAGGACAGGAAGACTCAAGTTAACCATGAAAATGTTTGCTAATATTTAGGTATAAAAAGAAGCTCAAGTATATTTCAAGCTCACCTGAGGTGATGTTCAACATCTTATTTGTTTGACCAACACTATGGATTCAAAAATTTTGTTTTTCTGCGTTTTAATTGTTAACATTTATTTGATTACAGACGCCAATCAAGGTAGTATGATTTAATGATTTTTTCGTCTAATAATCTAATTGTCTTTTCAACAGTATTCAATTATGTTGTTACTATTAAGACTGCTGACAATAAATTCAGTAGCCATGAAGGTAAACTCAACCTGGATATCCTCAGTTCCAATGGACTTACATCTTCCCAAGAAGACTTTGAATTGACTCCAAAGTAAGTTTTTGATTTCAACTGATCTATTCCCATCAAAATACAGAGATCATCTTGACTAATTGATATTTTCCAGTGGTGTCAAACTTGCCAAAAATCACGTCTACACTGCGAATATCGCCTCATTTAGTCCATTGGATAACATCACATCTGTTTACCTTGGATGGAACCTGGTTTCGAATTACAATCTATTCTACAAAATCAAGAAGCCGATGGTATATTTTGACCCAATCACTATTGGTACTACATATGACGATCCTAATTCACAGTAAGTTTTGATTGAAACCAAAAAATCAGTTTGTGCTAACGCTGCACTTGATCAAGTCTTACTTTATTATTCACTCGAAATGCATTTCAATTTTGACATTTTTACATCTAGCATGTCAGTTACGTTGAATCGCAAATTTTGTCCAACAACTTTACCAATTGGAATCAAAAGTGGAAAAGGAGCATCTTTTCATCCTTGTATTTCAAACTAAACTGATATCAAACTACAGTTTCGACCATAACACAAATTCAATAGAGAAAATTTGATCTTCAAAAGTATTCAATTGTTTTTCAAGTTGATTGAATCTGACTTCATCAAGTAAATAATGAACTCTACTTTATTGGAATTGATTGGAAATGGTTTAAATATTTCAAGCTATTTTGACATAAAATAAATTTTGCAAAAATAATTCTTGTGATCTTATTTGGATAACTAAACAAGTCTGATCTAACAAGTAAAGTTTTTAAGTCAAGTTGTTTTGGTGAGGCAGTTCAATTACTAAATCATATACATTGGAAACAACCAAAATGATGTTTTTATTCAGTTTTATAGTCAATAAAATGTAATAATTTACAAGGATTCATGACTAATTTATTACTTTACGCGTTTATTTCAATGTAAGAGATAATTATCTTGTTTAGTTTTCAATTGCGAATTTTATGCTCATTGATTCATCAATGTGCAATGTTACTCGTTATTAAGTTGATCATTGTCTACTATTTAGTCTAACATTAATAATATGATCTTGTGATTTACGGAACCTAATTCTGTCGACTCTCCATTTGAGGTTGAATTTTTGGACAATTTCGATTATCGAATCGTTTGCTGATTATTGACTTTAAGCTTACTTAAGACTTGATTGTTGCACCAGGAAAAGAGTTTACTCATCAACAATAAACAAAACTAGATCCGTATCGGAATAACTATAAAACTAATTGCTGTTAATTATTATTGTATCATTAGAATCTAGTTGTATCAACTGATAATCAATTAGTTATTAATTGTAGTCATTTAAAAGTAGAAGGCAGTTTAATGATAATAACACTGATTCCCATTGATCTAGAGTGAACCATTGATGAACATTGTCCGATTCAAACAATGATTTCAAGAATTTTCTTATGTTTTGTTTTAACCTTAATCGTCTGTGTTGCTGTTGAAGCTGTCCAAGGTATTTATAATTTACAACTTTAATTCAATTGTTAAGTCGTTTCTGTTTTGTTTTCTCGTCTAGTTTACAATTATAATGTGACAGTGAAAACTGCTGATTCGCCAAACTTCAGTAGCCATAAAGGTAAACTTAAACTCGCTGTTTTCAGTATTGACCAATATGCTAAATCCCGTGAAGATTACGTTTTAACTCCATAGTAGGTTAAATGATTTCAACTTTAATCTTGTTCATCAACCAGAAACAATCTAATTTTCCCTTTTCTCTCTTCTTCTAGCAATGTTAAACTCGCCAAGAGTCACTTTTACACTGCAAGTATCGCCTCTTTCGCCTCATTGAAAAACATGACATCAGTTTACCTTCGATGGACTCTGGCTTCTCCATACAATCCATACTATTTAATGAAAAAACCATCAATCTATTTTGAGCCAATTATTTTCAACTCTACTTATATCGATCCTAAAACACAGTGAGTAATTGCTAATTTACTATCAATAAATATTACTAAATTCAATTCAAATTTGATGTTGCCATACTTTGGCAAAGCCCTTTGATGTGATGAGTCAAAAATTATTGCTAATCACGTCTTTATTTCCATTATTTTATAGCATGTTGGTCACTAAAAGCAGAAAATTTTGTCCGTTAACCACCCCAGTTCAGATCAAACACGGCAACGGATCTTCTTTTTACCCTTGTGTCTGAGTCAATTATTTCCCCACAGGAATATCATGGAAAATCAATGATTATATTCTCAACTATTGAACTATCAAACTCTCCAATTAGAAACTTAAAGATGCATTCATTGAAGAGAGTTTATCGATTATTATTCTTGTGCATCTAACGAACTGCACAGCAAACATAAACAAGTTACACAAAACTCCGCATATTAAATAAATACAAAGCAAATTTCAACACTATCATTGATAAGTAAATCTAATAAATGAATATAAATTATATAAATGTTGGTTGTTTAATGATGATGCACTGATTCACATTGAGTTAGACATTGAATGCAGTTTGTACATCTCATAAGTAAATGTAAATTAGAAAAATGTTTTGATATTGAAAGCGATGTTCAGATGTTTTCAATTTTTATTATCGAAGTAGAACTTTTGATTAACGCCATGTCTACTCCAGTAAAGATGATGCAGCTTATTGTCAACCATGAGTTCTCAGATAGAGTTGAGGTGGCACATAATTTACATGCCGAGACGTAAGTATCACGGTTTGATGGAAAGGATAACAAGTTCTGTAATAGTATTGCATGACATTGAATCTTCTATAAGCTCCATGCCATCGCTCTAAATGAAATTCATGATTCTCTGGCCACCTCGGTTGAACAAGCAAATGCGCCATTTGTGATTGCAATGCATCATTAGTTACAATGGCTCTCAATTTGTTCAAATGAGCTTTATTGTCCAAGTGATGACAAAAATTTAGAGTACATTCAGTTTCGCCAATCAATCTTTCTGGTACGAAATTGTAACCAATATAAAAATGTTTATTGTCATCACATCGCAGCCGGAGAGCAAGACGAAAAGGTTCATTGCCATTCATGAGGTTCAGAAGATTTTCTCTGTTAAATTGTATCCGCATACACAACAGAGGAGTATTCCTGAGAAGAAAAAACTTAATCAGATGAAAAATGTATTCAAATCATATTTTAATCGTTACTCGAGTTGAGGCTCTGCACGTTTGTTTCGGAAACACTCCGCTCCGTAATTCCCAGCCAAAAAATAAATGTCAAAAGTTTGCTCAACCGGTATTCCTGATATTTCTGCAAGCTAATATAATTAATAATACAAAAAAAATGATTTAGAAACAATTTGTTACAGTTTTCATGCAAACCTTACACTATGCTCATAAGGTATTCCTGATATTTTTTTGAGCTAAGGAGTAATACTGTGATTCAATTAACGATTATACTTACTCGGCTAAACACTTGTTGTTCATATGCTTGACTTGTATCCGTCCAGTCGATCACAATGTCATGATAATCTTCACTAGATAGCTTTACTTTGATCACAGCTAGGAATGAATTGATAGGTTATTTATCAACTAATTCATCAATATAATGAACTTACTTTCATCAGAATTGATATTGTCAGCACTCATTTTGAGAAATGGGAAAACATCAAGTCAACAAGAAAATATTCATCAAAAGTAAAGTGATTTTGACGAGTGAAAATAGATTCCAAGCGTGTCTTTTAAAAGGTTGAAGGTGGTGTTTCCAAAATTCAAAATATCTTTAACCCCTTGACCAGGTAAACCATTCTGTGGCGCCATTTTCGGATTTCAAAAACCCAGGGATTTCAAATGTTTATTATTGTTTCATTGATTAAGTTCGAAACAATTGTAAAGTTTATTGATTAATTTTTAACCATGATCACCTTATCAACTTCACCAATGCGCTTTAATAGCCGGTTCAAGTGTATTAAATCCTCCAGTTACAATTGTTCCAGACAGAGATTTCAACTTTAATTTTTTTCACCAACCAGGAGCAACCTGCTTTTTCCATTCATCTCTTCTTCACAAAACCCTTTGAGAGAGCCATTTAGATGAGTCAAAAATTGCTAATCACGTCTTTATTTCCATTATTTCCTGTTGGGCACTAAAATCAGAAAATATTGTCCATTAACTAACCAAGCTCAGATCAAACACGGCAACGGATCTCTTTTCTTTCCTTGTCTGAGCAAATTGTTTTCACACAGGAATATCATGGATAGTCACTGATAATATTCTCGGCTAATAGACTATCAAACTATCAAACCTTCTAATTACCAACTTGTAGATATATGGATTGAAGAGATTTTATCAATAACTATTCAACTATTGACCAGTAGAACTTGAGAATCTAATAGATTGTACAGCAAACTTAAACACGTTACACAAAACTCCACATTAAATAAATATAACGCAAATCAATACACTATCATTGATAAGCAATTCTAATAAATGAATAAAAATTGAATAAATGTTGAGATATTGAGAGTGATGTTCAGATGTTTGCAATTTTTATTATCGAAGTAAAATCGAATTGTTAACCGCGAGTTCTCAGATAGAGTTGAGCTGGAACAAAATTGACATACTGACATACAAATGTCAAGTTTTGATAGAAAGGATAACAAGTTCTGTATAAGTATTGCATGACATTGAATCTTCTATAAGCATTACGCCATCGATCATGAAAATCAGGGCCATCACCCAGTGGCCACCTCGGTTGAACAAGCAAATGCGCCATTTGTGATTGTAATGCACTATTATTCACAATGGCTTTCAATTTCTTCAAACGAGCTCTATTGTCAGAGTAATGACAAAAATCTAGAGTACATTCAGTTGGATCCATCAATCTTTCTGGTACGAAAATGTAACCAATGTAAAAATGCTTATTGTCATCACAGAACGGCCTTAAGGCAAGACCAAAGTGTTCATTGCCATTTATCAGGTTCGAAAGATTTTCTCTGTTAAATTCTAGCCACATACGCACATAACGAGTGAAACTTAGGAGAGAAAACTTAATTAGATAAAATATGAATTGAAATTATAATATATTTTAAACATTACTCGAGTTTAGGTTCTGTACGTTTGTTGATGAAACGCTCATATCTGTCATTACCAACCATAAAAGTAAATTCTGCATTACGTTCAACCGGTATTTCTGATATTTCCGCAAGCTAAGGAATAATATAATTATTAATACTAAATAAGAATAATTTAGAAACAATTTGTCACAGTTTTCATGAAAACCTAGCAATATGCCCATAATGTATGCCTTATATTTCTTAACCTAAGGAGTAATACTGTGATTAAATTAACGATTATACTTACTCGGCTAAACACTTGTTGTTCATATGCTTGACTTGTATCCGTCCAGTCGATCACAATGTCACGATAATCTTCACCCGATAGCTTTACTTTGATCACAGCTAGGAATAAATTTAAAAGGTTATTTAGCAACTAATTGATCAACATAAATAAACTTACTTTGTTCAGAATCGATATTGTCAGCAATCATTTTGAGAAATAATTAGTCAACATGAAAATAACCACAATTAGAGTTAATATTTTAGAATCACAGTGACTTTGTTGAGTAAAAATGGATTCCAAATGTGTCTTTCAAAGGGTTGAAGGTTAAGCTCTCAAAATTCAAAATATCTTTAACCACTTGACCAGGTAAACCAGTTTTGTCCCATTCTGTAGCGCCATTTTCGGATTTTAACAACCCAGAAAATTCAAATAGATATTACCAAAATTGAAACAATACCTTACAAAACCATAAAATGAGTGATTATACTTATTTAGACTGGCGAGTTGATGGACATTCGTGGAGTATGTTGAATATTGCCAATAAAAGTATCCATGATGGACCTCATGTTTGTAAGTAGTTAGAATATGTAATTGAAATTTTTAAATACAAATCAAATTTTAACTTAATCCAGGTTGAAATGAGAAAATGAATTCAAAAAATAATCCTGTAAACTTGAGTTTCTCGTTAAAAACAAACTATTAGTAGGTAAAATAATCGTTCAGGCTGAATTTGTACATCGTATATTCGAAATACATGATTGGTATATTTTATGATTAACAGCCTTTTACAACCACAGAAATCGCGAATATAATGTTGGAGCATTGGTTGAATTTATAATAATAATGATCATTTCCTATGCAAATTCCTTCTATTCTTCCACATGAAAAACGAAAAGATTTGAAAAGCAAAAGATTATTCATTTCAACAGATTCATGTGAATTTATTTTCATTCTTGAAAAATATTAATCAGCTATGAAACTCATTGCCTCATTTGAATGAATTTTTTTCAAGTGATAATCAAATATCAATTAGTTATTAATTGTAGTGGTTTAAAAGTAGAAGTTTGTTTAATGATGATGCACTGATTCACATTGAGTTAGACATTGAATAAAGTTTGTACATCTAACAAGAAATGTAAATTAGAAAAATGTTTTGATATTGAAAGAGATGTTCTGATGCTTCCGATTTTTTTATCGAAGCAGAATTTTCGATTGAAGTCATGCCTACTCCAGTAAAGATGATGCAGCTTATTGTCAACCATGAGTTCTCATATAGAGTTGAGGTGGCACATAACGTGACCGATATTTCTGTTTCTGAAGTATATGGTAGAGATAACAAGTTCTGTAATAGTATTGCATGACATTGAATCTTCTATAAGTATCAAACCATAGCTCGAACAAATTTAATCCATCAAAAAATGGCCACCTAGGTCGAACAAGCAAATGGGCCATTTGTGATTGTAATGCATCATTAGTTACAATGGCTTTCAATCTATTCAAAAAAACTCTATTATCAGAGTAATGGCAAAAATGTCGAGTACATTCAATTTCATCCAGCGATCTTTCCGGCACTAAAAAGTAGCAAATATAAAAATGCTTATTGTCATCACATTGAAGCCGGGGAGAAAGACCAAAATGTTCATGGCCATTCGTGAAGTTCAAAACCTTTTCTTTGTTGAATCCTATCTGAGGAAGAAGATAACGATCACTCCTGAGGAGAAAAAACTTAATCAGATAAAAATGTATTCAAATCATATTTTATACATTACGAGAGTTCTGGTTCTGCACGTTTGTTTCGGAGCCACACCCCTCTGTAAATCCCAGTCAAAAAACACATGTCATAAGTTCGCTTAACCGGTATTCCTGATATTTCTGCAAGCTAAGGAATAATATAATTATTAATATAAAAAGAATAATTTAGAAACAATTTGTTACCGCTTTCATGAAAACCTTTCACTATGCTCATAAGTTATTCCTGATATTTCTCAAGCTAAGGAACAATGCTGTGATGAAATTAACGATTCAACTTACTCGGCTAAACACTTGTTGCTCATATGCTTGACTTGTATCCGTCCAGTCAATCACAATGTCATGATAATCTTCACCCGATAGCTTAACTTTGATCACAGCTTGAAATAAATTGATACGTTATTTATCAACTAATTGATCAACATAAATAAACTTACTTTCATCAGAATTGATATTGTCAGCATTCATTTTGAGATATGATTAGTCAACATGAAAATAACCACAATTAGAGTTAGTATTATTATAGAATTACAGTGACTCTGTTGAGTAAAAAAGGATTCCAAGTGTGTCTTTCAAAGTGTTGAAGGTTAAGCTTGCAAAATTCAAAATACCTTTAACCCCTTGACCAGGTAAACCAGTTTTTTCAATCTTGGATTTTTGGAGCGCCATTTTTGGATTTAACAACTCAGGAATTTCAAATAGATATTATAATATTATTGTTTCAGGGACAATTTATGTATAGCACTTAATGAATTCAAAACAGTTGCAAAGTTGACTTAATTGATTCATTTTTAAAGATTTTCTCCTGAACAAGTTCACCAATGCCGTCTAATAGACGGTTCAAGGGTATTAAATCCTTACAATCCGAGAATCTGATTGGATTGAATTCCTAGGAATCCATACTATTTAATGAAAAACTCATCAATCTATTTTGAACCAATTATATTCAACTCTACTTATATCGATCCTAAAACACAGTGAGTAATTGCTAATTTACTATTAATAAATATTACTGAATTCAATCCAACTTTTATGTTTGATTTGATGTGATGAGTCAAAAATGAATGCTAATTACGTCTTTATTTACATTATTTTATACTATTGTAGCATGTTGGTCACTAAAAGCAGAAAACCTTTGTCCATTTACTAACCCAGTTCAGATCAAACACGCCAACGGATCTTCTTTCTTCCCTTGTGTCTGAGTCAATTACTTGTATTTCCACGCAGGAACATCATGGGAAATCACTGATAATATTCTAAGCTAACGAACTATCAAACTATCAAATCCTCTAATTACAAACTTAAAGATATATTTGTCGAAGAGATTTTATCAATAACTATGCAACAATTAACCTGTAGAACTTGAGAATCTAATAGATTGTACAGCAAACATGAACAAGTTACACAAAACTCCGCATATTAAACAAAATAGAACGCGAATTTCAGCACTTTCATTGGTCAGTAAATCTAATAAATGAATATAAATTAGATGAATGTTTAGGTATTGAGAGAGATGTTCAGATGTTATCAATTTTTATTATCGAAGCAAAATTTTTGATTGAAGTCATGGCTACTCCAGTAAAGATGATGCAGCTTATTGTCAACCACGAGTTCTCAGATAGAGTTGAGCTGGAACATAATCGAAATTCTGACATACAAACATCACGTTTTGATAGAAAGGATAACAAGTTCTGTAATAGTATTGCATGACATTGAATCTTCTATAAGCATGATGCCATCGCTCGATAAGAAAGAAGTCATCAAAATATGGAAACCTCGGTTGTACAAGAAAATCCTTCATTTGTGATTGTAATGCATCATTAGTTACAATGGCTTTCAATTTGTTCAAAATAGCTCTATTGTCCAAGTAATGACAAAAATTCAGAGTACATTCAGTTTCATCCATGAATCTTTCTGGCACAAAAGCGTACCACATATAAAAATGCTTATTGTCATCACAGGACAACCTGAGAGAAAGACCAAAACGTTCATTGCCATTCATGAGGTTCAGAAGATTTTCTCTGTTAAATTCTAGCTGCATACTCAAAAGAAGAGTATGCCTATGGAGCGAAAACTTAATTAGATAAAATATGAATTGAAATTATATTTTAAACATTACTCGAGTTTAGGTTCTGCACGTTCGTTGTGGAAAAATTCATATCTGTCACCACCATCCATAAACATAAATTCTGCAGTACGTTCAACCGATATTCCCGATATTTCTGCAAGCTAAGGAATAATATAATTATCAATATAAAAAGAATAGTTTAGAAACAATTTGTTACAGTTTTCATGCAAACCTCTCACTATGCTCATAAGATATTCTTGGTATTTCTTTGAGCTAAGGAACAATGCTGTGATGCAATTAACAATTGAACTTACTCGGCTAAACACTTGTTGTTCATATGGTTGACTTGTATCCGTCCAGTCAATCACAATGTCATGATAATCTTCACCTGATAGCTTTGCTTTGATCACAGCTAGGAATGAATTGATAGGTTATTTAGAAAAGAATTGATCAACATAAATAAACTTACTTTTATAAGAATTGATATCGTCAGCACTCATTTTGAGAAATGGGATATGAAGTCATTAAGTCAACAAGAAAATATTCATCAAAAGTAAAGTGATTTTGCTGAGTAAAAATGGATTCCAAATGTGTCTTTCAAAGGGTTGAAGGTTAAGCTCTCAAAATATCTTTAACCCCTTGACCAGGTAAACCAGTTTTGTCCCATTCTGTAGCGCCATTTTTGGATTTTAACAACCCAGAAATTTCAAATAGATATTACCAAAATTGAAACAATACCTTACAAAACGGTCAAAAAATGTTCAATTCATCTACAAGACGTGTAACTAAGGTAATATTATTGTTTTAGGGTAAATTCATGTACAACATTACTACATGTATTTAGATTTATCCTAAATTTGGTCACAATCTTGTCGTTGCAAGTTGTCAAAAATATAGTCAGTTTCAATCAAAGTTTCAGTTATTTGCATAATTTTTATGATCTACTTAGAACCATAAAATTAGTGATTATACTTATTTAGACTGTCGAGTTGATAGACATTCCGGGAATCTGTTTAATATTGCCAATAAAAGTATCCATGATGGACCTCATGTTTGTAAGTAGTTAGAACATGTAATTGAAATTTTTAAATACAAATCAAATTTTAACTTAATCCAGGTTGAAATGAGAAAATGAATTCAAAAAATAATCCTGTAAACTTGAGTTTCTCGTTAAAAACAAACTATTAGTAGGTAAAATAATCGTTCAGGCTGAATTTGTACATCGTATATTCGAAATACATGATTGGTATATTTTATGATTAACAGCCTTTTACAACCACAGAACTCTCGAATATAATGTTGGAGCATTGGTTGAATTTATAATAATAATGATCATTTCCTATGCAAATTCCTTCTATTCTTCCACATGAAAAACGAAAAGATTTGAAAAGCAAAAGATTATTCATTTCAACAGATTCATGTGAATTTATTTTCATTCTTGAAAAATATTAATCAGCTATGAAACTCATTGCCTCATTTGAATGAATTTTTTTCAAGTGATAATCAAATATCAATTAGTTATTAATTGTAGTGGTTTCAAGATAAAAGGATGTTTAATGGTGATGAGCTGATTCAAATTGAGTTAGACATTGAATAAAGTTTGTACATCTAACAAGAAATGTAAATTAGAAAAATGTCTTGATATTGAAAGAGATGTTCTGATGCTTCCGATTTTTTTATCGAAGCAGAATTTTCGATTGAAGTCATGCCTACTCCAGTAAAGATGATGCAGCTTATTGTCAACCATGAGTTCTCATATAGAGTTGAGGTGGCATATAACGTGACCGATATTCCTGTCGTGACCGCTCTGTCTGAAGTTGATAGTAGTGATAACAAGTTCTGTAATAGTATTGCATGACATTGAATCTTCTATAAGTATCAAACCATCGCTCGAACAAATTTAATCCATGAATCGATGGCCGCCTCGGTCGAACAAGCAAATGGGCCATTTGTGATTGTAATGCATCATTAGTTACAATGGCTTTCAATCTATTCAAAAAAACTCTATTATCAGAGTGATGGCAAAAATGTCGAGTACATTCAATTTCATCCAGCAATCTTTCCGGTACAAAAAAGTAGCAAATATAAAAATGCTTATTGTCATCACATCGCAGCCGGGGAGAAAGACCAAAATGTTCATTGCCATTCGTGAAGTTCAAAACCCTCTCTCTGTTGAATTCTATATTATGGTCGCCATAACGATCATTCCTGAGGAGAGAAAACTTAATCAGATAAAAATGTATTCAAATCATATTTTGAACATTACTCGAATTCTGGTTCTGCACGTTTGTTTCGGAAGCCCACCGCTCTGTAAATGCTAGTCAAAAAACACATTTCGGAAGTTTGCTCAACCGGTATTCCTGTTATTTCTGCAAGCTGAGGAATAATATAATTATTATTATAAAAAGAATAGTTTAGAAACAATTTGTTACAGTTTTCATGCAAACCTTTCACTTTGCTCATAAGGTATTTCTGATATTTCTTTGAGCTAAGGAACAATACTGGGATTAAATTAACGATTATACTTACTCGGCTAAACACTTGTTGCTCATATGCTTGACTTGTATCCGTCCAGTCAATCACAATGTCATGATAATCTTCACCCGATAGCTTCACTTTGATCACAGCTAGAAATGAATTGATAGGTTATTGCGAGCAATTCATCAACATAATGAACTTACTTTCATCAAAATTGTCAGCATTCATTTTGAGAAATAATTAGTCAACATGAAAATAACCACAATTAGAGTTAATATTTTAGAATCACAGTGACTTTGTTGAGTAAAAATGGATTCCAAATGTGTCTTTCAAAGGGTTGAAGGTTAAGCTCTCAAAATTCAAAATATCTTTAACCCCTTGACCAGGTAAACCAGTTTTTTTCAATCTTGGATTTTCGGAGCGCCATTTTTGGATTTAACAACTCAGGAATTTCAAATAGATATTATAATATTATTGTTTCAGGGACAATTTATGTATTACACTTAATGAATTCAAAACAGTTGCAAAGTTGACTTAATTGATTCATTTTTAAAGATTTTCTCCTGAACAAGTTCACCAATGCCGTCTAATAGACGGTTCAAGGGTATTAAATCCTTACAATCCGAGAATCTGATTGGATTGAATTCCTTGGAATGTCCATCCAAGAAACTTTTAGAAAGTGATCAAGTTATTGTCTATGACTGTGAAAAATACAGATTCGCCAAACTTCAGTAGCCATAAAGGTAAACTTAAACTTGCTGTTTTCAGTATTGAACAATATGCAAAATCCCGAGAAGATTACGTTTTAACTCCATAGTAGGTTAAATGATTTCAACTTTAATCTTGTTCATCAACCAGAAACAATCTAATTTCCTTCCCTCTCTTCTAGCAATGTTCATTCACTTTTACCCTGCAAGTATCGCCTCTTTCGCCTCATTATTTTCACCAATTATTATATTTAATATTATTAATCAACTCTACTCATATCGATCTTAAAACTCAGTGAGTAATTGCTAATTTACTACCAATGAATATTACTGAATCCAATTTAACTTTTATGCTGCCATACGTTGGCAAAGCTTTTTGATGTTATGAGTCAACAATGATTGCTAATCACGTCTTTATTTACATCATTTTATAGCTTGTTGGTCACTAAAAGCAGAAAATTTTGTCCATTAACTAACCCAGTCCAGATCAAACACGGTAACGGATCTTCTTTCTTCCCTTGTTTCTGAGCCCTAACAGGAATATCATGGAAAATCACTGATAATATTCTCAGCTATTGAACTATCAAATCCTCCAATTAGAAGCTTAAGGACGCATTCATTGAAGAGAGTTTATCTATTATTATTCAACTGTAGAGCTTGGTCATCTAACGAACAGCAAACATAAACAAGTTACATGAAACTATCAAACTATCAAACCCTCTAATTAGTAATTACAAACTTAAAGATATATGGATTGAAGATATTTTATCAATAACTATGCAACAATTAACCTGTAGAACTTGAGAATCTAATAGATTGTACAGCAAACTTAAACACGTTACACAAAACTCCGCATATAAAATAAATATAACGCAAATTTCAACACTATCATTGATAAGTAAATCTAATAAATGAATATAAATTAGATGAATGTTCAAGTATTGAGAGCCATGTTCAGATGTTATCAATTTTTATTATCGAAGTAAAATTTTTGATTGAAGTCATATCTACTCCAGTAAAGATGATGCAGCTTATTGTCAACCATGAGTTCGCAGGTAGAGTTGAGGTGGAACATAATCGATTAGCTGACTTACACGCATCACGTTTTGATGGAAAGGATAACAAGTTCTGTAATAGTATTGCATGACATTGAATCTTCTATAAGCATTATGCCATCGATCATGAAAATAAGGTTCATTATACACTGGCCACCTCGGTTGAACAAGAAAATCCGCCATTTGTGATTGTAATGCATCATTAGTCACAATGGCTTTCAATTTATTCAAACGAGCTCTATTGTCAGAGTAATGACAAAAATCTAGAGTACATTGAGTTTCATCCATGAATCTTTCTGATACGAAAGCGTAGCCAATGCAAAAATGCTTATTGTAATCGCAGGACAGGCTGAGAGATAAACCAAAACGTCGATTGCCATTCATGAGGTTCAGAAGATTTTCTCTGTTGAATTCTAGCCTATGATGCCTAAGGAAAGAAAACTTAATTAGATAAAATATGAATTGAAATTATATTTTAAACATTACTCCAGTCCAGGTTCTGTGCGTTTGTTGTAAAAATGGTCATATCTGTGCTCACCACTTATAAACAAAAATTCTGCCGTACGTTCAACCGATATTCCCGATATTTCTGCAAGCTAAGAAATAATATAATTATCAATATAAAAAGAATAATTTAGAAACAATTTGTTACAGTTTTCATGCAAACCTTTCACTTTCCTCATAAAGTATTCCTGATATTTCTTTGAGCTAAGGAACAATGCTGTGATTAAATTAACGATTAAACTTACTCGGCCAAACACTTGTTGTTCATATGCTTGACTTTTATCCTTCCAATCAATTACAATGTCATGATAATCTTCACCTGAAAGCTTTACTTTGATCGCAGCTAGGAATGAATTTGATAAGTTATTTAGCAAATAATTGATCAACATAAATAAACTTACTTTGTTCAGAGTTGATATTGTCAGCATTCATTTTGAGAAATCGGATATCAAATCATTAAGTCAAGCAGAAAATATTCATCAAAAGTACAGTGATTTTGCTGAGTAAAAATGGATTCCAAGTGTGTCTTTCAAAGGGTTGAAGGCCAAGGTAAAATTCAAAATATCTTTAAACCCTTGACCAGGTGGTTTGGTCCAAATTCACCAATCTTTTAAGCTTTTAAGAAATAATCTCTTCAGGTTAAAAGTTAAAACTAAGTGTTAGAGAGCTAAAACTTATCATTCGTCGATATAAATTGGTAAATTGTAGGTACTCATCAATGATAGAACATTTTTTTAAATTAATCGACAGTTCTCTTGATTTTGCGTCATCGGCCTCATAACTTGAGTCTCAATATTTTGAGAATGGTAGCACTTACATTCATCATTCTTTCATCATTATGATTTAATTACTGACTATAACATATGACTAAATACCTAGAAAAATCTGAGCTGATTTATTTAATAATGAATATCATATAGCCCATGATAAAATCTAATAATTTTTTAAAAATGATGATTCTAGGTGCTTAAATTATCGAAATATTGATTTTGTATCTCATTTAATTTAAAAAATAAATTTTTAGACCCAAAGCTTAAACGCTTAACTCAAAACTTATGTATTTAAAGCTTAAAAGATTGGTGAATCTGGAACATACCTGACCAGGTAAACCAGTTTTGTCCCATTCTGTAGCGCCATTTTTGGATTTCAACAACCCAGAAATTTCAAATAGATATTAACATTACCCACTTTACCAATGGGCTTTAATAGCCGGTTCAAGTGTATTAAGTTCTCCAATTACAACTTACATGTAAAGATACATGGATTGAAGAGAGTTTATCGATAAATATTCAACTGTAAAGCTTATACGTCAAATATAAACACGTTACATGAAACTCCGCATATCAAACAAATAGAACGCAAATGTTGTTCTAAACATGCCAGTTAATTAACTTTAATTAGAGTCAACAAAACCTTGATTGAGTTTGTTGTATAATCAATCCAATTTGAGTCCATTTAGCCAGTAACAAGCTCATTTAAATCAATTGCAACATTTATTCAATCACGATAAGCAATATTTCGACAAAACAGCTACTTGATAGATAATTTTTGATATAATCATTCATTATGAACCTGATGCAAATTGACAATTTAATGATTCTAATTTTGCAGGTTAAAGTAATAAAAAAATAGTCAAAAAAGGTAGAGATTAGAGAAAAAGATTGGATCGCGAAAAGTGAAATTTGCTTAGAAATAAGATTATAAAGATTATCAGCATTAGATCGCCATGCAACTAGCCTTGATTGAAGCTCGTTTTCCTTGTTTTGTGGTCCAAACAACATGTTTATTGCCACGTTGAAATTGATTTACTTTGATTGTTTCATGTTAACAGTCGACTCAACTTTTTCCTTTTCTTCTTCTTCTCAAACAAATTGTATCAATTTACTTACAATCTTTTCACTCAATTCCCTTTAGTTGAATATTATTCAGTTTATGTCGATCAACAATGGTAGCCTTAAAACGACTGTTGTTGATGTATTGTACTAAGTGAATCCATTTTGGTTACAATTAGTATTAACTGAACTACCAGACACCAATCGTTGTTGATTGATACGTAAGTCATACATCAGGTTCGCTTCATTGTGACTACCTGTTTTCATCTTTTTGGAGCAAAGCCTCTCCCTTTAAACTATCTTTCTGCCTCAATTTTGCTATCGTCTTTCCTTGTCTTCGGCATCTTTCTTCTTCTCTCTCTATTTTTCTCTCTTTATCTCATGTACCTTGAGGGAGTTACGCTCAATAATTATCCGAAAAGTACGACATTTTCTCCAATTATCCGTTAAATCATCTCTTAATCAAACATTTTCAATTTTGTTGACTGTTTAAAAATGCTGCTCTTTATTTCTCCAATAGCTTTTCTTCTCTTTGGCGCCCTTAATGGTAAGTCTATTAACTACAGTTTATTTCATTACCACCAGTAGCAATAACAGTTATCATTTATATTCCGTTAATTATTGTTCTTCAATTTATATAATATCTAATTTTTCCTGTGAAATGGATTAAAAAATTAACATTAACATGATTTGCTAACAAAACGTTATTCGGCCTACTTATGTTTCTAAAGTTGTTTACATCGTAGGTGTTTGATGATGGTTATTTCACCTTTTATTACTAATGTTGGTGTCTAAATGACATTATCTGAGTGTTTAGTGATAATAATTGTATCTCTTGTGCTATTCCTTCCAACTCAGCTCAATATGACGTTCCATCAGACTCAATCCAATGTCCAGGTGAAGGTTTGTACACTGCTGCTCATCAAACTGACTGTGATAAATACTATCTTTGTCGTAATGGTACCTTGACCCTTGAAAATTGTCCAAATGGATTACTTTATGGTGTACAAGGAGCCGTTTATGAATTCTGTGTCCACAACTGGAAGATCGATTGTCAGGGACGTAAAGCTCGTAAGTGGTGTCGTTTGTTTGCTTATCTTTATTTAACTGTGTCACTTCCTATTTGTTGAGCTCTCAAGTGATTCAACCATCTCAATTGGCCAGTGTTTGGAGACTAATCAAATTTTGTTTTCAACTTATAGCTGGTCCCATCAGTAGCCCAGGATGTCCATGGCAATGGGGTATCTTTGAAGATGAAGGAGCTGGTCAATGTGCCACAACTTATTCAGAATGCTCATGGGGTAACCCAGAAAGGAAATATTGTGAACCAAAAGGATTAGTCTATGATGAAAGGATTAAAGGCTGTAACTGGCCTGATCAAGTTGGATGCAAGGGTGAAGGTAAATATTGATAATTACTTTCCAATTAAATTTGTCAAACAAGCAGTTAATTACAAACCTTTTATTCCATTTTTCATTTCATTTGTTTTTAGACATCCTTGGCTTCAAATGTCCTGAAGCTGATACTGGAAACCGTTACTGGCCTTACCCAAGATATGCTTACTCGCAAGATGCTTTGATTACATGTGTTAAAGGCCAACCTCGTTTAATTCATTGTGGTAAAGATTCTTACGCTGATCAAAATTCAATGACCTGTATTCCTTATGAAAAAGAGAAAGCCAATTAAAGTCGACTTTGAGTCGGTAAAGGATAACATACTCACATAAATTAAGGCCAACATCAAGATTGTATTACAATCAATATTATCTCTTTTAAGGCTTCCAAATCTATCAACTCTCCTTATTCCTTGTCTTTTCTCAATCAGCCTTTTTCAACTCTAATTTTATGCCTCATGAGTAAACTAAAGTAATTAACTTAGGAATGGATTCCATTTAATGATTCAACTCTTTTTTGTATTTAAGAAATGAACCAAGGCCATGAATCGGTTCGGTAATTATGAACCAAAAAAAACTAAAACACCCATCATTAAAGGTGTAACATCTTGCAATACTTATTTTATTTCAATGATTTCATTCATTATCTTTTGCATTTGTTGTTTTGTATAATAAGATGTTATTTATACTTCAATAGCGATAGTAGATAATGATAGGAGACAAAGAGTTCAGACAATAATAAATTGTTAGTTATCTTTATATTTACGATTAAATAAAACATTTGAACATTTAACATTCACTTCTCATAACAAATAAAAACTTAAAATGACACAGTTTGCAGACCAACATCGATTAACATATGATTGGAGTACATTTTTTATGCACATTGAATCAAGTTATGGCCATTGCTGCAACAATCTGTTCTCATTGTGAGAAGCTTAACTAAAACAATTTAGCCAATATATTGATGAGTATTTAGAATTTGATTGACTGAGCGAAAAATAGTATCGAAAAGTAGCACATGCAACAAAATAGAGTGATGAGTGATCAAGATATGATATTGTGAAAAAAGACTGAATATTAATAAATTAAGGAGCTAAAGGTAACCCAGCAATATAAGCTGCAAATCCATCTTGACTACCAGCTAGGCCATTATATTGATCTTGTTCATGATTAGCACTAAACAATACTGGTTCAAGTGATCCTGAATTAAAGGAAAATGAGTTCATCTCATCTTGTGGACTTGAAGCGATTCGATTAATGTACTCAAAACCTGCTGGCCCTGATGAACTTAAGAGTACATTATCTTTAGAAAAGGACAACTCACCAGAACCAGAACCATGATGAATATTACTGTTGAATTGAATGGGTCCTGAAGCAGATCCAATGGTCCTATGGTTACCATCATCGGCATCTGAACCTGGAGTAAAGTAAGGAGATGGAGATTCAAAGCTTGACAAATGATGATTACTTCCTAATCCTTGCTCATATCCGCGTAAATCATCGTAAACCTTGCCTCTTGAATCATCTGAGTGTTCGGCAGATCGATAATGAGTAGGTGGCGGTCGGCTAGGTACTGGCGGATGAGAGTAGGGAGGAGGATGGTTTTGTGATCGAGAGCTAGATTGTGGATTTGAATAGGAGTTTGGGTGAGAGTGAGAGCGAGAGCGATGAGATTGACGATGAGGGTGAGTATGAGAGTGAGGGTGAGAACGATGATGAGAGTGAGAGTCGGGGTGAGAGTGAGGACGAGGATGAGGAGGATCATCGTCATGATAACGGCCCTGGCGGGGAGAGTTTGATGGTGGAGAGGAATGAGATCGTGAACTTCTTGGGGCTGTATGATGAGGTGGTTCAGGTGTTGATGATGGAGTCTCTGATTCATGAAAGTTTGGCTCAGGAAAATCTGGCATATCATCAAATGATGGTCTATCCGAGGACCAGGAACCTTTGGAGCCAATTAAGGGTTCCTTGTCGAAGAAAGAATCTATTCCATCGTCTTCCTCTTTAGGAGCATATTTCTCAACCAGTTCATGGTATCTGGATTCATTGGGGATGTTTAAAGTTCGAGATTTTGGCGAAAAATTATAAAATCGAGATGATGGTCGCATTTCTGAGTAAAAGTTTCTAGTCTCAGCTGTAGATGGTGAGTTGGAAATAGGCTGATGCGACTGGTCATGGTAAATTTTAATATTCATCTTTGTTGGCTGAAACGTAGAAAGTATTCAAATGCAAATATTAATAAAAAGAAATGAAAAAAGATTGAGTAAAGATAGA